TTTCACACCACGCATAATGTAATGGTAAAAATTAGGAAAAAACACTGAGGAAATATAATGTTTGGTTTGCTAGCGAGCGAGAACTGATTTGAGAATAATTGCAAATGCGCGTGAATTGAATGAACTATGACCCGTACAATCTCGATTTGCATATTGTCAATCAAAGGTCCTGTTATTTGGTTACTCATGCAAATTAGGCAATTGGACATAAACATTGCCACGTGTGAGTGTTTTTTTATTTTTAACCAGAAAATAAACAGCAATTTTAACGGTGTTCCAATAACAATTCATTGGTCAAATTTTCACAGAATGTTCTTTAGATAAAAATCTATATAAAAAACGAAAAAAATAATTTTTGATTGAAATTCACAAATAAACTGCATCTCTACCTTAATGGGCATTGTTTCGTAAGATGAGATTTAAAATGGCCAACTGGTGGCCATTTTGTTTCAGTGAATGCTGTTTAGAGCCATGTCTCTGACATGCCTGTACTCGTAATGTTCAAACTTTAATCTTATGTACTAGCAACCAAATGAACCAATCGAAATTCTCTGAATGCATTTATTTTGTCTTTATTGCTTTGAGCACCACATTTTCCCACATGTATTTTGCATTTTTTTTTTTTTTTTTTTTTTGACCAAACTGAAATAATTTCCTATTGGCTACAGGTGTTGATCAAAATTTTGGAAATAAATTAAATTTTTTTGTGAATATTGACAAAAGTTGAATATATAATTTTTAAAACCCTTCATTCACTTTTTTTTCTTCAAGTTCTGATGTTTATTCAGTAACTGAAAATGTGAGTGATGTTTCATCGAGCGACAGTGGTGCCAGTGGAACCAACAACCAACAAGAACAGACGCAGATAACCTATGAGTTTGAATTTCCCACTTGTGAATGCGGTCGTCTGATTGGAAGATTGGTAAGTGAAAATGTCAAGTAATCACAATGCAGGGATTAGGTGGGTACATCTTAAGAAAAGAATCTGTACAAAGAAAAGTTTTATCGGAGAAAATGGAAAAAAAATAGGTAAACAAAATTTACTGCTACCGTATGTACTCTAAACAAACAAAACAAAACAAAAGAATTCTAATTTAGGCGTCACCCAAACCTGAAATTGTACACAATGTATCAAAGTTGTAAAGTGCACTAAGCTAAGAACATGTGTTAAATTTCCCAGTCAAATCCAGACAGCTTGACTTCCTGTTAGAAAGGCACTTTCTTTGTTTCAGACCTAGTACATCAAGTGTGAATTACCAATCCATGCAAACGAAAAACAACTTCACAATTTTGGTTGAGCGATGATCACATGGGCACAGTCATATACCGGTACCGTATTTCGTTCGATCTCCGATGTACTGCCATAGTTGGTATGATGCAAAGTGACTTATCTAATACTCTAATAGCTTCTAACTAAACGACGTCATGGCTAATTAAAAAAAGAAAATTTAGTGAACTCGGTACACCAAAGGAGCTCATGGCGTCTGGAGGCAAAAGAAAAACGCACGAGACAAAACAATGCTATTTCAATAAACTACCAATCAAAGGAATTTACATTTATCATTTCTTGTTAATATTCATTCCCAGTTTTATGTTCGTATTATATTTCTTCCAAGTGTTACACAGTAATGATTTTTGTAGCATCAAACACATACCGCGTCCGGTGTTTTGATTAACTGTCGCGTGAGCGAGTATGTAACTTTATTGCGCCTGCAGCGGTCACTGTAGTGTCTAGGTAAGTGTCTGGGGATGTTACTAAGTTCCTCAGTAATTACCTACCGGGTGCGGGAGTTAGGTGTATGTAAATATCATGCGCATGCCGTAAATTCTGTCTAAATGTAATGTTGTTGACATTAAATGTCAAAAACAAATAGTTCTCATTCTAAAAAAACTATTACAGACCACTATATATTTTCGCTTTTTTTTACCTCTCAGTCTCACGAATTCATTGCGTGAAAAAGGACCGCCTTAATGTGTTAGTTTGTGCATCGTTTGACAGAAGGTCACATTAACATCCAATCAAAACGCCGCTTTCATGCACTTCTATTGCAACAGATTGCGGAGTGTTTGAGCACAACTTTTGGTACAGTCGGCAAAACAAATCTTGGTTGTACGATTAAAAACAAGATTGTTTAAAATACATTTATCCCGAATTAATCGTAACTCTCGACTGAACGATGAGGCCAGTTACTTTCAAATAATTGAGTATGAATTGTCTCTTGCCTCTCGTGCTAGGCATACAGTCC